TAAACGAACTCTTGCGCGAAAAGACCCCTAGTTGAGGAAAATCGGACAATGCCCATAAGAGATCTTTCGCAAGGTTCGACAGGGGCGGGCCCTATGCTTCCCGACCTATGATATTTTCCATCATTGGTCAGGCCGTCCCGTGGCCGGCAACCACATCTTCCTTGTTGGACTGCGTGTTCTCGACCAGCGACACGAAGATAGTTTATCGGAGGGGAGACTCCCGAACCATGGCGGAGAAAGGCGCTGGAAAATCGCCAAGGTCTCTCCATCGAAGAGCGGGCGCGCGCATGTGAGGACCTCTGCAAGATCACACACCACCCACGTACGTCACCTAGAGCGCGTGAGTACGAAGGACGTGTACCGCGTTATCGTGCCAAGCACCTCAAGGATACGTGTGCCCGGGTCTCGACCGGCCTCGTAGTAAAGTCTGGCGGGTAGACCTATATCTATTCGCCTTTTGTTTTTACTGGCTCTCGACTTCGGTTACTTTTCTATCGACTTTATATAGACTTCGAGATCGCATATGTGCCGTCATCCGCGGAGGATCGTGGTGCCGGCGAGCGTGAGTGCTTTCGGCTCGTTGCTCGTGTGCCGCGATGAAGTTTGGCTCGCTTCCGCAGAACGTCTCGACTTTTGTCGTTTCACGACAGTAGGCATCGCGGGACCGAATACGACGTGCGTCCGCGACAGATAGACGACTGTGTCGCGAAATGATGGAGGACTCGTCCGATGGCCCGACCGACCCAAACAATAAAGGCACGAGCACCGTGAGTTGTCCCAGTCGCTGAGATCGTAGATATACCGCGCGACTGAGGAGCCGGCGATCGCAAACGGGTCGGCGTGCGAATAGCTCGAAGCGAGGGGAGTAGGATCGCACTGTCTCCACAGTGGACATCGCCGCCGAAGGCCTTCAACGTTCCTTCGGCCCACGAGTAGCTTTGTTGCGACAGCCAGTGAGGCCGGTTCGTCGTACCTGGTCGAATCTTACCCCAGCCGTCCATTCATATCAGGTCGTTGCGATCCACCTGCCCGTCAGGTCCGCTCGCCGCGTTCCGGCGTCGCCTCGGCCATGAGCGACTTCCACGTCGCGCCGCTCGGCAGCCAGGAAGCGTCGTCGGTCTCCGCCATACGGACGAGATGGGCTTTGAGAAGCGACACATGATGAGGCGCGCCGCGACCGCCTGCGCTCAGGGCATAGTCGGCCAACAGGCCGAGGAGGTCCCGGAGATCGTGTTGTCGAGGTGGTGCCGGAACGCGCTGAATATGGCCGGGCCCGCGGCGTCGACATCCATCTTCCCGTCCCAGTCCAGGAGAATGCCCTTCGCCTGGGCCGAACGCTCTTCTGCGGGCTTCACGTCCGGCAAGAGCTTCAGGTACGTCAGAGCGGGAAGCGAGACCCGTTCGGCATGGACGTCGCCCATGTCCTCGACCGTGGCGTTCGGCATCTCCGCGAGCCGGTCATAGATGCGTCGCGCGCGGTGCTCGGTGGCGTACTGAACGCTGATGTAGTAAGGATAGTCGTCGTCCACCTGCTTGTTGTTGCCGTGACGATGACCCCGTGCCGTTCCGGATGCGCGGCAACTCCTCGAACGGGATGAATCTCTCCCACTCGTGCTCTCCCGTCCACCCGGGCACGGGAAGCCAAGCGTTCGCCATGCTCCGCACAGGTACCTTGCCACGCGTGAGGTAGGCGATGTCGCCGTCAACGTCCCCGAAGACGTAGTTGTTGCAGGGGTCGACCCAGCCACGCATGGCGGCGTCCATCTCGTCCACTGAGCCGGATCGCAACTGGAGTAGAAGGGCTCAGGGCGGTGTTCGGTCCGTCCGTCGCGGTGTACTTGAAGGCGATGGCCCTCCCGCTGCTCGGTTCTCCCACGACGATTGGACCGTGTTGAGTGGTCGTGACCTCGACCTCAACGGACTCGGCGCCCCTGACATCAATCACCTCCGCATGAGTCTCGGCATGTTTCCAGCTACCCTTGTGCTCGTAATGAAGGGACGATCCACCCCGAAACGCCTCGATGTACAGGTCTTGGTAGTCCGCCGCGGCATGGGTCACGCACCACGCCACCCTGGCGTTGTGCCCGAAGTGCGGAAACCCCGGACACCCCGGAAACGACAGTCCCATCCCATCGAATTCATCGCAAGCGATGTGGTTCTGGTAGTAGACGCTCGGAGTCTCGATAGGGCGGTGAGGGTCGCCAGCCACCAGAGGCTTGCCCGAAGCGGTCCTGCTCCCGTGAACGGCCCAGTTATTGCTGCCTGAGTCGGCATCCGCCATCCCGTCCAGATGCCTCGCCCCCGCACGTACTCGCCCAGCACGTCGTAGTTGTCGCCTAGTACTCCTGCCCCGGCGGGACGATCAGCAGTCTCCCTCTCCCTTTTGTACTGGGGGCATGAGCTCCGCCGCCCGCTCGTGCGCCGAGCTCGCCACCGTCTTCGCCCCCACACGCTTGGCCTCCATGTACCCATCAGACGTGCCGCGCCTTGATACGGCGAGACAATCTTTCGGCGTCCCATGCTTCCGCGATTCGTCCAGCATCGCGTACTCGACAGGGAGCGCTTCGGTCGTCTCGATGAATCCGTTGACCCCATCCGCATATTCCTCGAACATCGCCCTAGCTCGTCGTTGATGGCACCATAGTCCCGTTCGAACCGAGCGTCGCACTGGAACTTTCGCATGAGTCACGTCTACTCCTACGCGCTTCTCCCCGCGAACTCTGGCCCACCGTCCCTACGCCCACGACGGTCGTGTCCATCTGGAAGAGCCGGTCCTGTGCGGTCGCGAATCCCTGGCCGAAGAATGCGTCATGCACGCTCGTGGCCATTACGTGAGGAATGCCGTACGAGTCTCGGTAGAATGTCCACCGGCCCGTCCAGCGCATCGAACGAGAGATCGACCGTAACGTTTGGAAGGGCGGCATCGAGGCTGCTTTGCGGGACCAATTGGGCTTCGGACAAGGGAGAACTCCTCATGTAGGAATGCTGTCAAACGTGCAGTGTAGGAGCAGAGCCGTTCCACGTCAACGTGAACGGGAACCGTGGCCTTCTGGATTAACGAAAGAGATGGGCACTCAGTGCCCATCTCATCAAGTTGCGGTAGGATTCTGTCGCTACTTACTGCTCAGGCTCCGCCACCGGCAGAGCTAGCATCGCGCAGTTGCTGGCTGCGGCACTGGTGTCCTGCTCGCGCCTGGCACAGACATCGACGTTGATCGTAGAGCCGCTTGCAACATTGGCGACGCTGGTTTCAATCCTGACCCTGCCCTCGGCGCCGGCTGAGCGCGACCCTACTATGCACGTCATAGTGCCCCCGGGCACATTGGTTACCTGTCCTCTACCCTCTCGCGTGAATTCTTCCAACTGGTTCGGGTGACTGCATGTTGGGTCCTCTGACAGGGCTTTGTTGTCGTTGTACTGTCGGAGTTTATTGGCGGTGAGCTCGTTCGGGAGCCTAATGTCTAATACGATCGTTTCTTCTTCACACCTTCGGCCAGAACGGGCATGTTTTCATAAGAGGTGGTGAGAGTGATCGTTTGACCGGGAGTGGGCGTCTCAGAGGAGTATCAGTTTACATGAGCCTGCAGCACACACAGGTGGTATCTGGTGATCTGCGGCTTCACTGGCATGTGGGGTGTCCATGCGTTTACACTGTGACAGATGCCGAAAGCAGATGGTTGCAGTCTTGTTTTGTAGCCCCTAGAATATGGGGGCCACCTGCTCTTTTGCTCCTTTTCCCCATGTCTATACTACTAAAGTTTTAGGGGTGTTCTCTCAAAACTCTATCAGTAGGTATAAATAATTATTGTGACTGAGTTCACCTATAGCATACTATGCAGTCATGTATGCACAAAGGTCTGTCAGCAGCTGTGCTAGGACCAAATCTACTGCAGCATCCCTCCTTTAGAAGGTTGCTGCAGTACTCCACTATAAACCCTTTGTACCTAAGACAATGCTGACACAACTACCACTCCCATCTCTACCTACTGAGGATTAGTATGTTAGCTCTCTACAATTAGGTTGGCTCTTAGCTCTTGTTCTCACTTTATTTTGCACCATAATCCGTGGGTTCTAGCTGCACATACCCTCAAGCACATTTGCAAGGATATCCATAAACACCCAATATACCCAATTCACAGAGACAGTGTAGTGGGGAGACATTCCAACGCCTGTGCTCCACAAGTGAGTGGGCAGATGAGAGCTGTTGTGGTGACTGTGAAATGCGGTGTGGTGGTTGGGCCTTACCATAATAGGCTCATGTACTCCGCTTCTCCTATGGGAGAGTCATGGACACACAGGGTACCATATGTCAAGTGTAGTAAGGTTTTTGTTGGGGTTCCTCATCAGCTGGCTGCTTACACAGCTACTACAGATAAAAGTGTTCTGGGAAAGTGTAATATGCATTCCAGTCAGTCCAGTGCACAATGTGGTGGAATTGGTATTGGGACAGTATGTAGTGTAGTGTACTGCTGTACTGGAAAACAGGAGGCTGTTTGTGAAGGCTAGACAGCGTGCACACCCAACTCTGCTTCCCATTGAGATTTTAGCCAGGTTCACTTCCAGTTTACGGCACATAGACCTTGGCACCCTCAGAAAAACTAAGCTAAGTACTGCTCCAGATGGAAGTGTGAAACTATGACACACCATGGTGACATGATGGTGACACTCTTGCTTCAGACAACATAGCATCCAAATAAGTGGCCATCTCTGGCAGACATAATAGGAAAGTACTGTCTGGGCTGGCAAGAGACACCATTTCCTTTGCCCCATTGAGAGCAAAACTCTCACACCACCATCTGGCTTTCAAATGTCTTTATCAGCACTTGAAATTAAGAGGTTGTCCCTCTAAAACTGTAAAATGAGCCACCACAGTTGATACATCAATACCAGGGTTAATTGTGTTTTCACTTGATGTGCATTCTCACAGTAGATTTGTCCTAGGGTGTGGGTTGAGAAAGTATGGCCATAAGAACCACAGGATTTAGACAATAGCTATGTACCTTACCCACTATCATGTAGGTATAATACATACTATAATACTAGTTACTGAAAACCCTATTAGGCTTTATTCTATGGTAATGCATGACTCAGTGTGATCTTCTAGTAAGTGTATTTTGTGTAGTGACAAAATACACATCACTCACTTTTCCCTGTTCCGAACAATGCCCGATTAAAATGTGGAGACAAACACATTATATGTCCTACCTGATGGGAAAGTAGTGTTCTTCAAAGAGTAAGGCACTGAAACTCACTACATTTTGCCATCTGCCTTTTGAACTGAGGTATGCATATCAAACACCACTATAACATTCTAGAGACCTTGAATTTTGTGCTGGGGCCATATAAAAGTTATAAAATTTGATACCACATTTGACTGATTTTTTTTGGCTTTAATGTTCTTGGGAAAGCTGGCTTCTGTTTTTGCCATCTCAAGCCCAGCACCTCCCTGACCAGAGCAAACACAGACTCTTCTGCCGGCTGTGGTGACAGTGTAAACAGTATAGTGGCACTGGTATGGCTAAGGAGTTTGAAAAGAGAGGGATGATTTACACCAGTAGCTAGGAGCCCTGGATTAGTGCCCGCACAGTGTGCAGTATGAAAGGATATCCATTGTTGACAATCAATCCCCTACGACAGAAAACCATCATATTATGATAGTTAGCTATAGAGCTGAGGAGGAGACTCTGGAAAATTACCTGTGCCAGGTAGTAACTCTTTGAGCCTCACCACAACCTATTCACTCCTGTTACTTGCTTTCAGCCCCAAATATACTCCCACTGCTTAGTGGAGACTCACACACACACACACCCTTGACACTGAGCAAAGTAAAAAGGGAAGAATTCCTGCTCACTACACACCTTTATCAGTGAACTGTTACCATCTGTCTGACATGTTGGTGCACCACTACTACTCCACATTCACCAGGCTGCACCTCTGAGGCCATATGCCACTTGAGGCCCTTCAAAGCATACTTGAAATGATGTGGTAGAGTGCTAACTGACTTCAGAGCCTTTTGGCCATGGTAGTCCCTTCTTGGTGGTAAAGGACAGCGAAATATTTCCCTGGACACCACCCTCTAGTCTAATGCCAAGTGTATTGATAGCTCCATAATTCATCCAATATCAACTTGCACACACAGGCTTGGGAAAGAGGGGTGGATTGTTGTGTGCCAAGCTTGTTTTAGAAAATGCTCTGTTATGATAAGACACTAGATTCACTGTGGTCCATATCAACTGGAATTTTTGGAATGTGCAGTGCATGTGTCCTCAATGCACTACACTTGCCAGCCCTTTAGCAAAAAAGTAAAGGTGGTGTGGCTTCAAAGAGACAGCCCTTCCCCATGCTCTGCCAAATACTAACAATCTCCCTTTGTATGGTACTGCTGGAGGACTTGGCCTCTCCCTGCTGCACCATGATAGTGTATTTATATTTATCAACTGACACTCAAAATGCTTTGGTGAATGTGAATGTGAGCACAATGGTGAAGGGGGTGAGAGGGATGGTGGGAAAAGGACATATTGGGTTTACCATGCTTCTCAAAATCAACAATGTGAATGCATATTATGGTTCTATATGCACTGTTGGAAGTTATCATTAGTCTTTCTTGGAATGTCAGTTTGGAGTGGCGGTGAAGCGTCAGGAATTCGCGGCGGATGTTATAAGCGCGCATTCACTTCCTATCCAATAAGCGCTCCTTGTACGTTAAAGTATCGTTCGTCGCACGAATCGTTTACGTTGGAGCATCGTTGCGCACGAAAAACGCGCACGTTAAACAAGCCGGCCGGCCGGCCGGCCGGCCCAACCGGCCGACGACAGGGCGGCGGCCGGGCCAACGTCGAGGGCCGGCTCGCGCGCTGCGATCAGAATTCTCGGCACCATAATGACCCTGGACATTACATGTTTTGCACAAGTTCTGGACCTTACTTTACAGAGACATCTATATATATACAGTGGCTGAAACATGCACTGTTCCTGTTACCTCAGTTATCGGTTGTCATGTTACACTCAACACGAACACCATTCTTTAGTCCTGGCCGCACTGCCCTGCACGCCACGCAAGGGCTCCTAACAGCGGCTATAAACAACTTCGACTCATTTGTCTCGCATTCTCTCTATTCCGAATCGTTCTGTGGTTGCTGCCGGTCCGACTGCTGCTGGTAACTGCGGTGCAGAATGTCGCAGTTTTCAGCAGTCGCGGGCCTTGCTCTCGCAACCTTTCTGCTGTTCAACCTTTGCCGACCCATAGTTGCTCAGGCTGGTCCTGTTGCGATCGGTAAGACTACCGCACATTCACTGTTTGATGGCTAGCTACGTGAAAATAATCAGTTTGTGCCCGCTTATATATAATTGTAATTTTATTTGCTACAGGCCAAACCAAGTGCTATACGGACACCGCAAACTGTACTTCATCGTACAGTGTAACGGACTCTCCGCGAAACTGCTGCGTTGGAGAAATCAACAGCGTCTCGTACGAGACCGAGGACGGCCAGTGCAGAAAGTGCATAGGTACGTAGCTACGTTGCTTTCGAGCAATCGATGCAGTAGTGTTATCGTTGATTGCAGTGCTCGGCTTCGAGAGGACGACATATTCTGTCAAAGAAGGAGAAGATCTCGTCTTCCCGTTCGGAATGTACGTGAAAGGTGACATAGAAGAGGCGGAAAACAGCACGGGGAAGAGAGTGATCCTGGAGTATTTTAGAGGACGGGTCACAACTGACCTGCCGGGCACCTTGACCCCTGAACACTCAAGTAAATCTCTATAGCGAATACTTGTCAATTGCCTCATACACAATTATGACGACATTCTTTGCAGTGGATTACGACAGAGTGAACGAACCGTTCAATCCACCAATGCACGATGAAATCTTCATCAATTTCTTTGCTCCCAACGACCAAATCAGTCTGGAGTACGAGGACCACGCTAACCTGAAGTTGCTGCCTCATGTGCCGGAGCTGACCGATTACGCAGACACTTACGGCATCTTTTTGGTATTAAGCTGCACCGTTTACATCATAGATAACGACCGTGAGTTATCCACATGCACACTTACTTGACACGTTGGGAGAAAGTTTCCCTTTGGAGGGCACATAATGAACATTATAGAGATGTCCGAGTCTCATTATCTGCTCATGTTCCATCTGTACAGAGCTGATAATCAACTTCAGAGAGGCTGATTACTCAATCACAGAGGGGCAGATGAACTCCGCCATAGTGCTCCAATTGAGAAGTATACAGAACCCATTCACAGTTGAAATCTACCCAGTCAGTATCGAGACTGCTTTCACTCACTTCGACTTCGATGTGGATATGTTTATACAACTCGAGGACACCACTGTTGAGGCTACAGAAGGCAAGTCACATTAATAAGTTGCAGTTTGTGCAACTTCAAATGTATGAGTGGTAGGCCATGAGGCGTTTCTCGTGCAGAAGATTACGTGGCATACGGGTGTACGTTTAGCTTAACTCTGTCTCTGTCCAACTCCAGGAAAGGATTTTACCAACAACAGCTACACAATAACAATAAAGCCTATGATCCGTACAACAACTGTGGAGAGCCCTGTCCCTCAGCAATTTGAACTCATAACCGACCAACTCTTTGAAAGAACAGAGAGTTTTGTCTTGGTGGCTCGTTTGGGCCCTGACGTACCGGAAGAATATGCCTGCTTCACCACCGGGTTTAGCAACCAGGCCTGCTATGGGCGAACCGGAGCCACCAAAATTGATATCGGAGATGCGGATGGTAAAGATATAGTTGGTAGCTAATCATATGCACTATGCACTATGCAAGCCATTGAGATGATGGTATCCACCTTGGTGACCAAATATTCTTTCTTTTGCACAGAGATGGTGATAGGGTTTGCGGAGAGAATCAAGTCGGTATCAGAGAGTGAAGCAGGCGATGGATTTGACAGTTTCGACGTCCCAATTCTGGCTCATTCCCAGATCCCCTCCGAGGTTCAAATTGAGGTTCAGATAAGAGTCGTTAGTGGGTTCGGTCAGGCAATCGTCCGGGAGACAAACACAATGGACACTGACTATGATGCCTTGTTTGGGTCGGTGGTCATGAACAGACTGTTGGAGATACGACAACTGCCCGGAGATGGGGAGACCGTTGATCTTGCGACCATCCTGATAAAAGTCAGGAACGACCTGCGAGCAGAGGACGAAGTTGAATGCCTCAATCTTCAAATCGAGAAGACTGACTTTGAGCGGACAAGCTTTACCTGCTACAACGACTTCCCCACTGACTACTCCTGCATTTTCACTCTCTGCATCGTGGACGACGATGGTGGGTTTGCCCCTGTCATCATAAAGATGCTCTTGTGCATTTGCATGTGTGTGATGTGTGTGTGTGTGAATGCATCCAGCTGCAAGTGAAAAAAGCTGGCCTTAACCACACGTGTGTTGTGACGCATGACATTCACGCGTGTTCCTCTTTTTGCGCTGTAGCAACGTTCCCCAATCTGTTTGTTTTTCTCAAGAGGCCATTTTTTCTGTTCTTGTAGTTCAAGAGTTCTTGTCACTTGTGGCCATTTTTTCTGTTCTTGTAGTTCACGAGTTCTTGTCACTTGTGGCCATTTTTTCTGTTCTTGTAGTTCGCGAGCTCTTGTCACTTGTGGTTATTTCTCTGTCCCTCCAGATCCGTTTGTGGTTGCATTTGACGAGACCATGTACGAGGTCGATGAAGGGACCCCATATGTGACAGTCTGTGTCAACCTCACTAAACCAGAGCACGACATTCAAGACGAAAATGTATTTGTTGAAGTATACGATGATCCCTCCTCCATTTACGTTCCATCGAATGCCACTCCTGCTAGTAAGACCCTCATATCTACCAATGGTGCAAGTTTAATGGTATATACTTCTTCTTACAGCACCTTTCATTCCAAATTTTTTTATGCTGAATCCTGCCAATGGGGGTGAGCATGACTACCAACGGGGATCTATTCGTCTACAAACAACTGCCATAGAGGAACTGCGGCGAATGGTATGCTACATTCAGGTCATCTATGACGACGTTCGTTTGGAGGAGACTGAGTACGTTGGACTGTCGCTGCAAGTGCTGTCCAGTTCACCTCGTACCGATGTCGCTTTGCCTTATCACTATTCCGCCATACAGATTAATGACAATGACAGTAAGCTTTGCTGCTACTTGTGTTTAAGTTTAATAATACTAGAGTTTCTATTTTATGCAGCTATAGTATCTCTGTTTTAGCTACTTGCTGCGTTTTATAGCTACTAACCTTTCGTTTATCAGGAGCCACAGTAGGTTGGAGTTTTGTCGGTACCGAGGTCAACGAAGGGGATGGATACGTGGAGCTGTGTGTGGAAGTGACCAGTCCAGATATCGTATGTCCCATTCAGTTCCCTTTCACCGTTGACGCGAGAACGCAGTCCCGGACTGCAGGTTAGTAACAACCAGGTCCAAAACATATCCGAGTAATACATTCACCACGTTTGATAATATTTTTGGCTCAGAGGATCCGTACATCGAGTTGACTACAAAACCTTTTCAGTAGCCAGTAGCTATAGCAACTACAAGTATAGTGAAACACTTGTGCAGCACGACAACCAAACAACGAGCAAAAACTTTAATGAATGAGCATAATAGCCACAAGAGTATAGTTATTGGATTAACATAGGTCTCTTATGTGATGTCACTACTAGGTATATTGTGTGTTCTGCTGTTTTAATCATCCAGAGAGCCCCGAGGATTACGAGTCTCTTGACCTGACTCTGGAATTTGACGCGTGTGCCACTGAGAACTGTATACAAGTGGTCATCATTGACGACCTGAGAGACGAAACGGTGGAGAGGTTCGTAGTTGTTCTGGAGAATCCCAATCACCCTAGAATTGATCTGGACCCCGCCACTGTCATAGTCTACATTATGGACGATGATGGTGAGCATAGGTTCCTCGTGGAGGAAAAATTATTACTAAAATATAGCAATGCTGTGTACTGATATACAAATCTTTCTGCAGAGCCAATAACTATTGGCTACAGCCCAGTGTTCTACATGACAAGTGAACAACTGGGAACTGTAGTCCTCACGATCGTGAGTGACACCACTGCTCTGTGGGACTTTACCATCTCAGTCAGCCTCGGGACTTTACTATCGCAGTCAGCACGCCTCTAGCAATCGGCAGCCAGTAAGTTTTCCAGTTTTCCTAGCCATGAATAATGGACACCTTGGTTAACAACAGAGTGTGGAGAGAGGTGTCCTCTTTCAGTGGTTTTACTGTACATTGTATCCACTGCCCTTGCAGCTCCAGGTTCAGACTATGAAGAGCTAGATGGAGAAGTCATCTTGTTTCCAGCGGGTGCAGACTATGTAACCCACACCATCAACATCACCCAGGACACGCTCTGCGAGATTGCCACCAACCCCGAGGATGACGAGCAATTTCTCTCGGTCATCCAGTCTACCAGTGGCCCTGGTACGGTGATTGTCGATCAACATCTGGCCACTGTTATCATTGATGACTCCAGTGAACCAGAGTGTGGTGAGTACAAACAGTGCCTCCTTGGAAGATTTTAGGATTTCTCTTTACCATGATACTATCTCACTCTCCCCTTAGAACCAATCACTGTTGGTTACGATCCTGTCACATACATGACAACTGAAAGTGATGGAAGTGTGACTCTCACAGTTAGGGTCTTCAGTCATCCCGGTGGAGCTCCACGACCTTTCACTCTTGCCATACACACACAAGATGGCACTGCAAGTATGTATTTCCAGCTAAATAAAACCTGTAGATTGAGCATTTGTCTGTTTCAATACAGCTCTAACTGATTATATACCAGTGGATGGTGAGATCATACAGTTCAATGCGGGAGATGTCACTCAGACCCACACAATCACTATCAATGATGATGATGATGAATGTGAAGACGAACCAAATGAGAGCTTCTTCTCTAACATTGCTCTGGACGGTGGTATCGACATTAATATTACGATTGATCAAGCTGTTATCACTATCAATGACACTGCTGAGCCAGAGTGTGGTAAGTGTATTATTGCTAGCAATACTAACGGTGAGATTGCTTAAAACCATTCAGGAACAATTGAAGTTGGCTATGAGTATACGACATACACTACATCTGAGGGTGAAGGAATTGTACTTCTGTGTGTAGTTGTTACAAACTTCCCTGACGGAGCTCCAAGACCATTTACTCTGCTTGCTACGACTGAAGATGGATCTGCTGGTACGGTGTAACATGACAGCACACACGCTAGCTTTATTTACCACTTTCTCTTACGCTGAAATATCCCTCATTTGCTTATTTAATTCCATCGTTTTTTTCCTTCCTCTTCCAGTTGGCTATCTCAGAGGTAGTGGCTTTCCACCAAACACTGACGAAGGATCTGCTGGTACAGTGTAATATGACAGCACACATGCTAGCTTAAGGAAATGTACTTCTGTGTGTAGTTGTTACAAACTTCCCCGACGGAGCTCCAAGACCGGTTACTCTGCGTGCTGCAAGATATGCTGGTGGCTATGGTGGCGATCGTGCTGCATATGGCCATGGTGGCTATGCTGGTGCTGGCTATGCTGGCCATGGCTATGCTGGTGCTGGCTATGCTGGCCATGGCTATGCTGGTGCTGGCTATGCTGGCCATGGCTATGCTGGTGCTGGCTATGCTGGTGCTGGCTATGCTGGTGCTGGCTATGCTGGTGCTGGCTATCTCGGTGGTACGGTGCAACATGACAGCGGTAATGGCTTTCCACTTACCACTGGCGAAGGTATAGTTAATATTGACAACACTCTGTATTTACTACTTGTATTGCCATGCTGAAATATCCCTCATTTTCTTATTTGTGTTCTCTCTTCTTTCCAGCTGCCTACCTCGGAGGTAGTGGCTTTCCACTTACCACTGACGAAGGATCTGCTGGTATATAACATTGACAACACTTGCATTTACTACTTGTATTGCCATGGTCCCTATCCAGATGGTCGTTATCCAGACTATGTCGGAGTCAGTGGCTTTCCACTCGAGTTCCAAGTTGGAAACAAGACCATCTGCCACACCATTTACATAGTGGATGACACCGAGTGTGAAGGTAGTCCACCGGAAGATTTCTCGTCCAAGTTGGAGTTAGGCAGTGGAAGGGGAATTGATATTATCCAAGATACTGCACATGTCCTCATTGTTGATGCTACTGAGCCCAGAGTGTGGTGAGTTGTGACTAATGCTGTAAGAGTAGTTGATTTACTGACTCGTACGTTAGAACCAATCACTGTTGGCTACGACCCTGCAACATACGTAACAACTGAAAGTGATGGAAGTGTGACTCTCACAGTTAGGGTCTTCAGTCATCCCGGTGGAGCTCCACGACCTTTCACTCTTGTTGTCGACACACAAGATGGCACCGCAAGTATGTTTCTAGCTGCAAGCAAAATGAGCGTTTGCATCTCTTCATGCAGCTGTTGCAGACGATGATTATGTACCAGTGGATGGTGAGATCATACAGTTCAATGCGGGAGATGTCACTCAGACCCACACAATCACTATCAATGATGATGATGAATGTGAAGACGAACCAAATCAGTTCTTCCTTTCTGATATCAGGCTTGACGAGGGCATACCTACCATCACTGTGACTGAGCCTAATGCTACAGTCACCATTGACGACACTGCTGAGCCAGAGTGTGGTAAGTAATTAGATGATAGCGTGTATTCTAATAATGCTCTTCCTTCAGGAACAATTGAGGTGGGCTACGAGTTCTCAGTCTACACCACTACTGAGGGAATTGGAGTTGTAACTCTGTGTGCTGTTGTTATGAACTTCCCTGGTGGCTCTCCAAGACCATTCACTATTAATGCCACCACTGAAGACGGATCTGCAGGTAGCTATATCATGTAATCCATCAAAGAAACACAAATTTTACTCAGCCTTATCTAAACACAGACACTGGGAGTGATTACATCGGAATTGTTGATTTTGAACTAATATTCAGTGCTGGAGATGATCAACAATGTCATAATGTTAATATTACTGACGACGACGATTGTGAAAAGGAGGCAAACGAAAGCTTCTTCTCCATCCTGAGCTATGCCAGTGGGAAGATGCCCATAGTAATCACACTACACATCGCCGCACGCATTGAAATTGAAGACACAGCTGAGCCAGAGTGTGGTAAGTAATGTTTGTGTTAAGAGTAGGCCAAGTAACACTTTTTTCTCTTCAGAAATGATTGAAGTTGGCTATGACCCCCAACAATACATGACAAGTGAAGGAGATGGAAATGTAATACTTTCAATTAGGGTCTTCAGTCATCCCGGTGGAGCTCCACGACCTTTCACTCTTGTTGTCAACACACAAGATGGCACTGCAAGTATGTTTCCTATCTTTGAGGATTATACTAATGTACTAGTTGACCCTGACACAGCTGTTTCTGATGGAGACTATACATCAGTTAGCAGTGATACTATTCAGTTCAATGCGGGAGATGTCACTCAGACCCACACAATCACTATCAATGATGATGATGAATGTGAGAAGGATCCAAACGAGAATTTCTTCTCCAACATTACCCTGGACAGCGGTATTCCTGATATCATTGTGATTGTGCCTCAAGCTACAGTCACTATTGATCACACTGCTGAGCCAGAGTGTGGTAAGAAATTTCTATATACAGTAAAGGAGAAATGAATGAAAATGCTCTCTTCTTTAGAACCAATCGATGTTGGCTACGACCCTGACACATACGTAACAACTGAAAGTGATGGAAGTGTGACTCTCACAGTTAGGGTCTTAAGTCATCCCGGTGGAGCTCCACGACCTTTCACTCTTGCCATAAACACACAAGATGGCACCGCAAGTATGTTTCTAGCTGCAAAATACGTGCAAAATGAGCGTTTGCATCTTTTCATACAGCTGTTGCAGACGATGATTATGTACCAGTGGATGGTGAGATCATACAGTTCAATGCGGGAGATGTCACTCAGACCCACACAATCACTATCAATGATGATGATGAATGTGAAGATGATCCAAACAAGAATTTCTTCTCCAACATTACCCTGGACAGTGGTATTCCTGATATCAGTGTCATTAATTCCCAAGCCACAGTCATCATCAACGACACTGCCGAGCAAGAGTGTGGTGAGTATGCTGAATTACTAAAAGGTATGATGTAATTGTTTCTCTTCTTAGAACCAATCACTGTTGGCTACGATCCTGTCACATACATGACAACTGAAAGTGATGGAAGTGTGACTCTCACAGTTAGTGTCTTCAGCCATCCCGGTGGAGCTCCACGACCTTTCACTCTTGTTGTCAACACGCAAGATGGTTTTAATGCAGCTATGGCCGATGTTGACTATGTACCAGTGACTGGTGACATCATACAGTTTAGCAGAGGAGATGTCACTCAGACCCACACAATCACTATCGATGATGATGATGAATGTGAGAAGGATCCAAACGAGAATTTCTTGTCCATCATTGCCCTGGACAGTGGTATTCCTGATATCAATGTGACTGTGCCTCAAGCTCTAGTCACGATTAACGACACTGCTGAGCCAGAGTGTGGTAAGTAATTCCTATATACAGTAAAGGAGAAATGAATGAAAATGCTCTCTTCTTTAGAACCAATCACTGTTGGCTACGATCCTGACACATACGTAACAACTGAAAGTGATGGAAGTGTGACTCTCACAGTTAGGGTCTTCAGTCATCCCGGTGGAGCTCCACGACCTTTCACTCTTGTTGTCAACACGCAAGATGGTTTTAATGCAGCTATGGCCGATGTTGACTATGTACCAGTGGCTGATGACATCATACAGTTTAGCAGAGGAGATGTCACTCAGACCCACACAATCACTATCAATAATGATGAAGAGTGTGAAGACGAACCAAATGAGAGCTTCTTCTCTAACATTGCTCTGGACGGTGGTATCGACATTAATATTACGATTGATCAAGCTGTTATCACTATCAATGACACTGCTGAGCCAGAGTGTGGTAAGTGTATTATTGCTAGCAATACTAACGGTGAGATTGCTTAAAACCATTCAGGAACAATTGAAGTTGGCTATGAGTATACGACATACACTACATCTGAGGGCCAAGAAAATGTACTTCTGTGTGTAGTTGTTACAAACTTCCCTGACGGAGCTCCAAGACCATTTACTCTGCTTGCTACCACTGAAGATGGATCTGCTGGTGCGGTGCAACATGACAGCACACATGCTGGCACTTCCTCTTTCACTGAAATATCCCTCATTTGCTTATTTAATTCCATTGTTTTTTTCCTTCCTCTTCCAGTTGGCTATCTCGGAGGTAGTGGCTTTCCACCAAACACTGACGAAGGATCTGCTGGTACAGTGTAATATGACAGCACACATGCTAGCTTAAGGAAATGTACTTCTGTGTGTAGTTGTTACAAACTTCCCTGACGGAGCTCCAAGACCGGTTACTCTGCGTGCTGCAAGATATGCTGGTGGCTATGGTGGTCATTATGGTGGCTATGGTGGCTATGGTGGCTATGGTGGCCGTGGCTATCTCGGTGCTGCTGCATATGGCTATGCTGGTGCTGGCTATGCTGGCCATGGCTATGCACGTACGGTGCAACATGACAGCGGTAATGGCTTTCCACTTACCACTGGCGAAGGTATAGTTAATATTGACAACACTCTGTATTTACTACTTGTATTGCCATGCTGAAATATCCCTCATTTTCTTATTTAATTCCATTGTGTTCTCTCTTCTTTCCAGTTGCCTACCTCGGAGGTAGTGGCTTTCCATTTACCACTGACGAAGGATCTGCTGGTATAGAACATTGACAACACTTGCATTTACTACTTGTATTACCATGCTGAAATACCCCTCATTTTCTGATTACTTCATCCCCTATCCAGTTGAAAGCAGTGACTATATTGGAATCAGTGGCTTTCCACTCGAGTTCCAAGTTGGAAACGACACCATCTGCCACACCATTTACCTAGTGGATGACACCAAGTGTGAAGGTAGTCCACCGGAAGATTTGCCGTTCAAGTTGGAAGATTTCTCGTCCAAGTTGGAGTTAGGCAGTGGAAGGGGAATTGATATTATCCAAGATACTGCACAGGTCCTCATTGTTGATGCTATTGAGCCAGAGTGTGGTGAGTTGTGACTAATGCTGTAAGAGTAGTTGATTTACTGACTCGTACATTAGCACCAATCACTGTTGGCTACGATCCTGCCACATACGTAACAACTGAAAGTGATGGAAGTGTGACTCTCACAGTTAGGGTCTTCAGTCATCCCGGTGGAGCTCCACGACCTTTCGCTCTTGTTGTCAACACACAAGATGGCACTGCAAGTATGTATTTCCAGCTAAATAAAACCTGTAGATTGAGCTGTTTCACGCAGCTGCAACTGATAGTGACTATGTACCAGTGACTGGTGAGATCATACAGTTCAATGCGGGAGATGTCATTCAGACCCACACAATCACTATCAATAATGATGAAGAGTGTGAAGACGAACCAAATGAGAGCTTCTTCTCTAACATTGCTCTGGACGGTGGTATCGACATTGATATTACGATTGATCAAGCTGTTATCACTATTAATGACACTGCTGAGCCAGAGTGTGGTGAGTTGTGACTAATGCTGTAGAGTAGTTGATTTACTGACTCATACGTTTGGTTAGAACCAATCGCTGTTGGCTATGATCCTGCAACATATATGACAACTGAAAGTGATGGAAGTGTGACTCTCACAGTTAGGGTCTTCAGTCATCCCGGTGGAGCTCCACGACCTTTCACTCTTGTTGTCAACACAGAAGATGGCACTGCAAGTATGTTTCCTATTTTGAGAATTATACTAATGTACTAGTTGACCCTGACACAGCTGTTTCTGATGGAGACTATACATCAGTTAGCAATGATACTATTCAATTCAATGTGGGAGATGTCACTCAGACCCACACAATCACTATCAACGATGATGATGAATGTGAGAAGGATCCAAACGAGAATTTTTTGTCCATCATTGCCCTGGACAGTGGTATTCCTGATATCAATGTGACTGTGCCTCAAGCTACAGTCACAATCAATGATTCTGGCGAAGAAGAATGCAGTGAGTTGACCGTCATGAGCTAACTAACACAGCTCAATACCAAATCTCCAACTGCAGGAGATATCCGTGTTGGCTATGAGATGACAGAGTACACAATGACAGAGTACACCACTCCAGAAGGGAACACTGTTGTGGAGCTCTGTGCCATCATCTATGAACCAACCATGAATGGTCCATCTCCAAGACCATTCACCCTAGCCTACCAGACATCAGACGGCACAGCAGGTACGCATTTCCTTGTGGTTAAAGCTACCATAGAAGCAGTCTTCGAAACCAATATTCCTCACTGCAGTTTCTGAAGAGGACTTTGAAATGTCACTGGGTCTACTCGTGTTTGAACTTGGGGACACGAGGTGCTGTCATAGTGTTGTGGTGTTGGACGACGATAGCTGCGAACGCCCGAGGCTAGAGTACTTTTTCTCATCTCTCAGTCTGTTTGTTGGAATGCAGAATATCACAGTCAGTCCTGATGTAGCCCGTGTGGAAATTGATGACTCTGGAGATTGCCGTAAGTTAAAGACAATTATTAGTATATAATTATAAGAGTTGGTTGCTGTAAACTGTCACTTAGCCCTTTTTGATGTATTCTCATTCTTTTTTCTTAGGTGGAGTTTTTGTGAATGACACACTCACCGGAGATCCGCTGATGGTTGTCCCGATATTTGACAAGCCCGATGTGGAGCCAGACGACCCAGTCGAGTCACTGTGCTACGAGGTCCACGGTGAAGATGGCTCCTACTTCAACCTCATCTCGGACAGATGTACCTCGGTCAATGCCTACTATGAAAAGGCTACCTCGGAGATTGACCTTAATGTCGTCACTCGAATCGGCGTAAAGGCAGTAGGAAGGAGCGGAAGCGGGTGTCGGAACATTGAAGTCAGGCTGGACGATTGCATGGCTAAAGTCGACGGCATTTTCCGAACTTCTTTCTCTTTCGATGGAATAAGAGTGAAGAAACACAACAATACGGCCAGGATCCGTATCTCTGTGCCCAACTGTGCCAGTCACAAGTTGGTGATGTGGGTGAACTGCCAGCCCGGGCAGGTCCCTGATCCAGAATCTCCCACCACGACATACAGAATACAGTTTCTCAGATTTGTCGTCATGCGAGGACTTAATCTCTCTCCAGAGTCTCACGGTCTCATTGGTACGTGCATCCTTTCTCTATAGAACCCCTGTTGTGAATCCTTCGAAAATGTTCATTTTGCGTTTTTATTCCTACTGTCTCTGATCTCTTTCTTTATCTTCGTTTCTCTCCAGGGCAATTCTGGAACGTTCCCGTGACTGTGGAGGAATATGACGGTCTGTTCAACGGAGCCCCGCAAGACGACATCTACAATATCACCGTGACGAGACCCGACGTCCCGCCGAGACACTTTATGGGTCTGAAAAAAGACGTGACGTGGGACTTCAGGAGCCGGACGTGCTACTACGTGGGAAACGCGCAGGGAGGCAAGATTGGAGAGAATCCGAGCGGCGACTCAGTCATTGAGGGCGATTACACCGATTATGCCGTCGGCTGGCTGTTCGATACAGACTTCAGCTACAGTCAGTTCAACCAGAGCCTCTGCGAGGAATTAGCTCCCACCCTAGCTACACGACCTATACCACCTGTATAAAGACGAAAGGCAATAATTATATTATATCATGATATATGTTTCTGTATCACTGCTGTATCATTGTCAATGAAAAAAATTTTATTTTGTCTAAAAAAATTCAACAACGGCGAACTATTGTCTGCAACATGAGTGATTGGCATAAAATCACTCCGCGCCTATTCAACGGGTTATATAGCTGATTATTTTGTCTCACAAATAGTTCAGTTCCACTTACGGTCAACAACTTAAGGGTGATTGACATGAAATCACTCCGCTTTACGTTATCCAACGGCTCGACTGATTGCGTAAACTCAGGGCCGGCCAGTGCGCGGCGGTGTCGCGGTCGGCGCGCACCGCACACCTATAAAAGCACTAAAGACTGAGCACAGTTTCTGACGTCTTCCGAGGACAGCCGAGATGTTGCCGAAGTTCGCTGCGGCAACGGTTTTGATCGGCCTTCTCTTCGCTTCTGAAGGTTCGCAACGCATTTCCCTGCTGCACGCAGGAGGACCTTTGTTGCATTTAGTTTGTCCATGCACCGGAACTCAGTTGCACTTTTTATCGCTATCCTTCTTTCTTCTCTCAGCGTTCTCCCAGATTCAGGTGTGCTATACGAGGCCGGATTGCGACGGGGACATTCTAGTCGCGACGACTGCAAGAGAATGCTGCGTCGAAACGGAAAACGGGACGTCGTTCGGAGAACCTGGAAATTGCGTGGTGTCACAGTGCATTGGTAAAAGATGTAATGAACTGTGCACCTTCTAGTTATCTAGGTGGCCCTCTCCATTGGGTGCCTGCGCTAACCACATGCGAAAACCTATGACCAGGCGCCTCTTTAAACGGCCTTTTCCCGTCACTATTACGCCTGGGGTTTGTGGGCAGCACTGTTTACATCTTTTCAAGGAGTTATGGAATAACTGTGGTGGTTGGATGCCCAGCCTGTAAGGTGTCTGTGGATCCAGGCCCAGCTGCTGTTGACACTAATCTTTGCAGCCTAGGGAAGCACTTTACCCCACACACACGCAGGCTTGGGGCCAATAGGGATGTTTTAGTTGCTATGTGCAAATGCCTTCTCTCGTTGCACCCTTTTCTGGGCAAAGTTAGGTTGCTCAATAGCAACAACCAACTTTCGTTGGGAGTCAAAAGAAACTAAAATTCACAGAAAATGTTTCCAGAATGTGACTCACTTAACAAAAGTTTGGCTTTTACACTTTTTCTCAGCCTCTCCATATGTTTACTAAGAAATTGGACTTTGCTATAATTATTATTATATCTCTGCTTGCAGTGCATGGATTTGACAGCCTCCTATACGAGGTGGAGGAAGGCATGCGACTGGACACTAAACTCACGCTAAACGTCAAAGGAACCTCTCGCGTGTACACAAATGGCTTTTCCTTCGAAGGCACTATCTCCTCCATCGCCGCAGGAACTGCAGGTCAGTCTGACTCCTTTTCAAACCCAGAGCCACTCTTTCTAAAGCACACCTCTTGTACTTCACCCACTATACTCTCCTTACAGTCATATGCACAAAGCATTCCTCACACTCTGATGCAAAAAGTTTCTTGCTTTCTCTCTCTCAATGCAGATTCCAGTGATTTCGAAGTCTTGCCTCCCCGACAAATGAGCGGTGGAGAGGTCCAATTCTTCACCAGAAACGATGAGATCACTCTTGAGTATGATGACAGGGTCTTACTCGTTTATACACCAGAGATCACTGACTTGGCCCAGCAGCTGGAGCAACTAGTCCCTCCAGAGTTCCTCAGAGCCACTGCAACCGTCCAGATAGATGATAATGACCGTGAGAAGATTTATGTAATATTATGTAACCACCAAATTTTAAGTGCCAACTGATGTAGTTGCATTGTTCGCCACGTGACCTTGATGCTGTTTACATGTATGATCTCCATCGTCCCTTCTTCCCCGTGCAGCACTTGAGATAAACTTTGAGGAGGCTGATTACTCGTTTACAGAGGGATCCACCACTTCTCTTACCGTTCGTATCCAGCTTCGAGAAACGCAGAACCCGTTCCAGTTGATCCTAAGCCCTTTGTCTATCGAACAGGCTCAACAACTCTTCCAACTAAGCGACTTTTTCGAACCGAGTAGCGATCCTGGCTCAATTGCAACTTCAGGTGAAAACTGTACTGGCACTGATTATAGGGGCTGGGGCTAATTTGTAAGAGCCTGTCTCTACCTCTGTTGTTGTAACCGCAGTTCTACTTCCAATATATACACTGTCTGCATGGCTAAAGTTAACCTTACCTGACTACTTGTTGTACACGCCCCCTACCTCCTCCATTACTGATTCTTCATGCAGGGTTGGACTTCACAAACACCAGCTTCACGGTTGAAGTTCCAGCAGGGTCGAGCACCTTTGTCATCCCAAAGAACTTTGGTGTGGTTGACGACGACATAAACGAGATCGAACAGAGCTTTGTACTGGCTGCGGAGCTGGGCGAGGATGTCCCTGATCGTTTCACCTGTTTCCAGACACAGGTTGGAAACATGGATTGCCTGGGGCGAAGAGGGGCAACTGAGATCAAGATCGTCGACAATGACGGTCAGTTACACCTACAAGATCTTGTTTTACACCATTAGACTATATAGACTGCTTGTTTAGCCAAACATTAATATGGTAGCCTGTGTGTGTGTGCCTCGAGCTCCAATCACAGTATCCAGTTCTGGGTCCCCTTTACAATACAGATAATTATGGCTGGCTCTTTTAAAATGTATTATGCTATGTGTCTTAATTTTTTTTCCGGTCACTTGTCGTGTTCTTGTTCCCCCCCATGCAGTCATGGTGATAGGGTTCTCCCAGAGAATAGTGACAGTCTCAGAGGCAAGTGTGGAGCAGGGAGACGACCAGTTCCCCCTCATCATCAACATCACCTCCGAGAGGACCTCTGAACAAGAGACCCAGGTCCTCTTCCGGGTACAGGAGAGCTCCAGCACCGCCAAAGTAGAGGCCATTAACCAGCAGTTCTCTACCGATTTCGACGCCCAGTTTGGTACGAGGAGTGCCGAGGGAGAGCCTATTGTTGACGAGAGACTGTTGGAGGCCGGGAAATTCGAGCTGCAGACGGAGCTGAGGACTTTCATCAGGAACGACTTCCGGGCGGAGGACCAAGAGTGCTACACCATCAGTTTAGTGAGTCCTGATCAGGGGCCGGGCGTGAGACAGATATTTCAGTGCAACGACGACGCAGACTGCTGGTGCAACCGATTTCTTCTGTCTACACACTATTTGCATCGAAGACGACGATGGTATGTCCCAGTAAAGATTGTAGAATTGAGATTTTGGAAGTTGTTTCTTTCCCAGAGGTCATTTTTTCAACTTTCATTTTGGTAGCCTTTGTAGAAAGCGATGCCAACTAAGAGTTTCCAAGTGTGATTGTGCTAGCTGTGCTGGATCAAAGTCTTTTCTCTGTTTTGGCAGAGCCATTCCGTGTGGCGTTTGTGAGGACGACAGCATACGGTGGAGGAGAGTGTGGGATCGGTGGAGGTGTGCGTCAACCTCACTCGTCCAGGGATTGACATTGACATCCTCGACGAGTTTGTCTTTATGCGAGTCATTGACGATCCCGACTCTGTCTACATCCCCAACAACACTGTCCTAGCAAGTAAG